TAAAAAATAATATTTTTCCTTTTAATATTTTAATACAGTCTAAATGTTTTATTTTAAATTTTGTTCTGACCTCCAAAAGAAAAAAAATCTTTAATTATTTGTAAGCAGCTGGAGTAATGTTATAAAGTTTTATTTATATATTTTTCAGTTTGATAAATTACATGTCATATACAATCACCATTATTAGGAACACCTTGCTTGTTCTGGGTTCGACCCTGTTTTTACCTTCAGAGTTGTCAAATTCTTTGTGGCACAGATTGAACATGGTGCTGGAAACATTCTTCAGGCTTTGGGCCCATATTGATGTAGCATCACAAAGTCACTGCAGATTTGCAGACTGCACATCCACACTGTGAAGCTCCCACTCCAGCACATCCCAGATGTCATGTATTGGGTTGGGATCTGGTGACTGTGGAGGCAATCTGAGACCAATGAACCCATTGTAATGTTTAAGAAACTAGTTTGAGATTATTTGAGCTTTAAGCAGTTTCTTATCCTGCTGGAACCATTAGAAGACTATACCTTCAGTATGTGATCATAAGGGAATGGACATGGTAAATAATGATATTCAGGTAGTCTGTAAAAAACATGCTCAACTGGTACTAAGAGACCCAAAGTGTGCCAAAAAATATCCCCCACACCAGTACACCAGCAGAAACAACTACAAGGCTAGATGGATTCATGGTGCAGCAGAAACTGAGCCTCATGCAATGTTTTTTTTTCGCAGTTTTTCATTGTCCACTTGTAGTGTGTGTATTCTAGCCTCAGTTTTTTGTTCTTAGTTTACAGGAGTGGCATCCGGTGTGGTCATCTGCTGCTGTAGCCCATCCCCTTCGAGGTTTGAGGTGTGTTGTACATGCACTCTTCTGCATACTCTAATTGCAATGAGTGGTTATTTGAGTTACTGTTGCCATCCCATCAGCTCAAAGCAGTCTGGCCATTCACCTCTGACCGCTAGGATCACCAAGGCGTTTTTTGGTTTCTTCCTTTTTGTTTTTTCTCAGAGGACTGCCACCAACTGGCTATTTTCTCTTTGCAGACCATTCCCTGTAAATCCTGGAGATAGTTGTGAGGGAAAATCCCAGATCAGGCCACACTCCAGCACCACCAACCATGCTACGTTCAAAGCCACTTGAACATCAGTAGGTCATTTTGACCATGTTTACATGCCTAAATTCATTAGGGTGCAGCCATGAAATTAGTTGAACAGATGTACCTATCAAAGTGGCCAGTAAGCTGGTATATATTAGTATGTATATCAGGGGTTGGGAACTCCAGGCCTCAAGGGCCGGTGTCCTGCAGGTTTTAGATGTGTCCTTGATTCAACACAGCTGATTTAAATGGCTAAATTACCTTATCAGCATGTCTTGGAAGTTCTCCAGAGGCCTGGTAATGAACTAATCATTTGATTCAGGTTTGTTGACCCAGGGTGATAGCTAAAACCTGCAGGACACTGGCCCTCAAGGCCTGGAGTTCCCCTACCCCTGATGTGTATGTTTATTGAAGTTAAACGATCCTGTCCTATACCATAACGACAGCAAAACAAATTTTTAACCACTAGCTGCTGGTGAGTTTGTTAGTGGACACCTCAGATCTGTTTGGGCTTAGCGTTTAACACCAGTAAGCCCGCTTCCAGTTTTACTTAGTTTAACTCCACGCTCTTGCTTTTGTAACTAGCGGTGTATGCCGACTGAGTAAAGAAACTACCCCCGTTTTACACACAGCCGCAAAGAGGTGCAGCCCTGCCAATCTTATAAAGTGCACAGGTGCTTTCCATCATGCACACTGTGGATTAGTTAAGGTGTGTGTGGCGTGGCTTCTCACGCCGTAGGTGAAGTTTGAGCTGAAAGCATATTTTTACTGCAAGCATGAGTGCCGGAGGAACTCCTTACATTGGCAGTAAAATAAGTTTAATATCCAAGGCACAGATTCGTTATGAGGGCATTTTGTCTTCTGTGGACACAGACAGGTCCACAGTTGCTTTAGCAAAAGGTAGGTTGATGCTTTACAGGATGTGGCTCGAGGCTGTGTTTCTCAGTTAAGTCTTAAACAAAATTTGCTGCAGTTTAAAAAACAGCTGACTTGCTTTATGTCACTTCAACATATATTTTCCCAGTTAAATCTTATGGCACTGAAGACCGGCACACAGTTAGACCAGTGCCACCCAAAGATGAAGTTTATGAATTCATAATCTTCAGGGGCAGTGACATAAAAGATATTACTGTGTCTGAGCCACCAAAACCACACCATGGACTTCCTCGGGACCCTGCTATTGTTCAGGTGAGTAGGTGAAGGAGATTCAACTTAATTTTTTCCTCACTGTAGATTTATTTGAAATTGATAGAAAGTTTTGCAAAAGTTCATTTTTGTCTTTATTGTTGTGGGATCAGTCATCAATTGGCAGCTCCTCTGCAATGTATCACCCACGCTGGAGTCCTTACAGAGACATGATGCCCACCTACAATCAGCTGGCTGCTAGCTCTCTACTCAACCAGCAGTACAGTGCAGCACTGGGACTAGGTACAGAGTTCTTCTCAATATAACAGGATTTGTTATATATTTATGTTTGTGTAAATCTGGGTTTCCAGCATGGAAAATGGTCTTGCACCACTAGGCTTCTTTGTGCCCTCTCAATTCTAGGACTTTCAGGCCAAGCCAGAAGAGCCCCTATGGTTGAACAGGCTGTCCAGACCATGCCTTTGGTCAGTGCTGCACAGAAAAAGGGAAAGACTACAACCCAGCCACAGAACAAACCGCTGGTGCGTCCAGTTCAGCGGTCTGGACAGGCTGGTGCCCAGGTTCAAAAAGAGAATATACCCACCAGTAAGTGGACTTTAACAGTGAACATTTACTTTAACATCAGTTGACTTCATTGCACTGCTTTTAAGTCCACCATGATAAAAAGAAAGATTATCATATATCATTTTAGGACAGGCACCATCTCAGCCAAGTGCTGCCTCAGCTGAAGGCCAAAATACAGGAAACCAGAAACTAAGGCAGAGACAAGGTATCCACATTTAAAATGTGCATTGTGAGCTGCTAATTCCTGAATGGCAGTAGGTTTGCTTGACTCTTTCTGCATGAAAATTAACTGCAATTATATTTATAAAACCAAATTTTGCCCATCTGCCTGGAAGCATTAAATTACAAAATGAAATGTCTCATACTAGATGAACTGGTTTGAGAACCAGTTTTAACGGGTGTGTGTGTTTTGTTTTTTTTTTGTTTTTTTTATAAATTTCCCCTTCCCCTCTAAATGCTTATTTGCAGGCAGCCGCAGGTCCAGGAACAGAAGCAGAGGCCAACTAATAGTGAAAAACACAAAGGCTTCAACTTTGGCATTTGAGTCAGATTTTGATTTTGAAAGTGCAAATGCTCAGTTTAAAGATCTTACGAAGCAAAATGTTGGTATGTTTTAAAGATCACCAATCAATTCAGTTTTATTTGAGGTGACAGAAACTGAGCTGAGTATATACATGTATTTTGCAGTTGATAAGGAGTCTTGGGAGACCCAGGATAGCCCTCCTGAACAGGAGGAGGAGCCTCTCAGAGATAAGTACTATGACAAAGCCAAGTGTTTCTTTGATAACGTCTCATCAGACCTCAAGCCCAGGTGACCTAAACAGTTTATTTGTAATATTTGTTTTGTGAAGCTCTGTAATATACTTACTCCCACCCTACAAAAAACTGTGCGTTTTAGGAGGACCACCTGGGCTGAGGAGAAAAAGTTGAACATAGAAACATTTGGAGTTCCTGGTCGCTTCCTGAGAGGCAGAGGATTCAGGGGGCGTGGACGCAGAGGGCTGAACGCCACTGAGCAGCGAGCGCTTCCAAAAGTTGGTAGTGGCAGAGTGTGAAGGATTTCCTTTTGTTAAACTGTTGTACATACTGTAGTTTTTGACTTGTTTAAGAGGAACCTCCTTGAGTTCAAACCTCTGCAACAGCACTCAGTGAAGATTTTTGTTTTTTGTTTATCCCAAATGCAAATTTGTATTTTGGATCCTTACATGAAATGGGAGAGCAGTTTCTTTTAATCCAGCAACTGTGCACTTAAAAAAAAAAAAAAAAGCAATATTGTTACTTAGTTTGAAACATGCGATGTGGAATTTGTCTTTTTTTTTTTTTGTTTGTATAAAGTTACACATACTTGGCTGTTCAAATGTAATCCAAATGGGTTCTGAAGACAGGTTTGTCAAAATGGACAACTGTACTTTTGTGGTTTGTTTTGGCTTTTGCTTGTTTTGGGTTTGTGTTTTTTTTTTTCTTCTTTTTTTCTTTCCCCAGTTTGATATAAAAACTGAAGACGCATGTGGCACAGTAATAAATATGTGATTAACAATATGGCTCTCTTGTAGCATTTCTCCTGCAGAAGTTGTCGCCACAAACCCTTTAGTCTCTCCTCCTAATAGAATATAGGAATTGAATGTTCTTCCTCACACTTGGAGCAGAAATGTTTACTACATGTCGTAATATCTTGAGTCCTGTCGTTGTGTTGGGCTGCAAATAGAAGTGAGTTGGTGGCACTTTGGGCCCAGATCTTCCAGTGTGTCCTGATATGAACCACCTTCAGAAATACTGATCCTATTCAGCTCTGAGATGGCATCGGAGTCCCCCTCCTGTGCGTCGATGTGAAGGTCTCTGTCGAAGTCCCCTTTTTTCTCTGGGAGTGAGGTTGTCTTCTGTAAAAGGTGGCACATGCAAGTGTGCCAGCAGTGATTTTTATTTTTAAATAATGCAGCATAATGGACTAAAGACTACCAACCTGACGAACTGGCATGAGTTCAACGGACTCCGTAGCACAGCTCATGTTTTGTGATTGGAGGACGTTCATGTTGCCCATATCATCAAACTGCATAAAGAAAGTTCACACATTTCTTCATCTCTGATTTCAAAGTAAAAGATTACAAACACAAATCTCTGGTGTTCTACCTGATGGCTGCTGTCATAGCCAGTGGTTATTGGAGAATTCCTGTCTGACTGAAATTTGAAAAAGAAACAATTTAATATTTTAAGATCCTTTTGTAAGACATCCTTGCTCTTCTATGGGTGTGTACAACCTGGTTCTGAGGGTAGCTGTGTTGGTAGGACAGGCTTTCTCTTCTTAAATTCTCACATGGTGAGTGGATTTCCTGTTGGGAAAGGGTGACAAGACCAGGAGGTGATCTATAGAGGAATCTGTTCACACTTTGAGGGATGCATTTACAAAAGTGCATGCTCCATGGAAGAATGACCTACCTTAGGTTGTGAGTCCTTGGCTGTCATGCATATAGAAGCCAGTTGGTGAAACTTTGGACCCAGATCTTCCAGTGTGTCCTGAAATGAGCCCTCTTCAGAAATACTGATTGCCTCCAGCTCTGGGATGGTGTCTGAGTCTAGCTCTGAATAGATGTGAAGCTCATCGTCTAGCAAGTCCCCTTCTTTCTCCCGCAGAGAGGTTAGCTTTTGTAAAAAGCGGAACATGTCAAAAGCAAATACAAATATGCCTGAAGTGATTTGTTTTTTAATGGTACATGCTCATACATTTTTATTAATTTTTTTTTTAAATAATGCAGCATAGGAGATGTGACATACTTAAGAGACTACCAACCTGATGAACCTGCATGTCATTAGACTCCGTAGCACAGCTCACGGTTTGTGTTTGGAGGACGTTCATATTGCTCATGTCTTCAAACTGCACACAAAAGGTTCACATTTCTTTATCTCTGATTTCAAAGTGAAAGATTACAAACACAAATCTCTGGTGTTCTACCTGATGGCTGCTGTCAAAGCTAGTGGTTATTGGAGAATTCCAGTTTGACTGAGATTTAAAGAACAAAAATATATAGTTATTATTTTAAGATCCATTTGTAAGTCATCCTCAATCTTCTGTGGGTGTGTACAACCTGGTTCCCAGTGTAGCTGTATTGGCTGTATTGGCTTTCTCTTCTGAAATCCCCAAAGCGTGGGTGGATGGACCTCTGTGTAAAATCCTGTTCAAAAGGATGACAAGAGCAGGAGGTGATCTATAGAGGATTCTGAGATGCTTTTACAAAAGTACATGCTCCATGGAAGAATGACCTACCCTAGCTTGTGAGCGTAAACTCCGAAAACTGCCAAAAGTCTGAACTTCATTCATACCCACCCTTGCTGAATATCTCCCATTTCTCATCCCATTCAGTGGAATATGGAAATTAGATTGATTATATTGCTCCATACAAACTGGTTCTTCCATAATAGTGACAGGAATCTAAAGAAAGAGAAATGGTTTATTGATATTTCCCTTAAAATGGGTCATTGGCATGGATGCAAATGTTTCTAAACAGTGACCTCGCAGTTGTCTCCTGGTGCCTCAGTGTTTGATTGGAGGAGGATTCCTCCTGAACAATCTTCAGGCTCCATAGTGATAAACTCTCTTTTGGACGAGATGCTGAGAGCCAGCAGCAGCAGAACTGTCAAAGAGTAAAATAAAACTTATACTGGGTTCTTAGAGATGTTAGCACACATATCACAGTTCTCCTACACTAAAGTAAACGGTGAGTTTCTTACACAGAAGTAGTAAGAGTGAACAAATTATTATGCATAAAGCATAAGGGCCAATGTTTATTTCAGATTTCTGGCGAATTCGACAGTTTGGTGTCACAGTGCAGCCACATGCAGTCACACTGAGGTTGTAAACTTTAAATGCTCCCTGCATGTCGGAGATCTTTAGATGAATTGTGTGTTGACCATAGGACACACCGGGCTCCTTCACCAGACCAGCTGTGTAACCTTGAAGAAAAGATCACAAAATGATAGGATACTTTAGGAGTTCTGGCTTTTGTGCTTGTTTTTCTGTAATATGTCACTAAATACACGAAGGATGTTTCTACCATAACCAGGATTCAGTCTCCATTTTCCTTCAACATTTCCCAACAGTTCAAAAGTGAAAGGCCCTCCATAAGGGGCTTCATCTGGGTCAAAGGCCTCGATGTTGGTGGTTGTGGGGGCATCAGACACACACACATCCAGGCTGTCCACTGTTAGCTGTGGCACGTTGTCATTCTGGTCCCACACATGGATATGTAGTGTAGCTGTTCCTGTCATTGGTGGTATACCTGTCCAAGATGCAAGAAATGTAGTACAAAAAAAGCTGTTTGTGTTTTAAAAGTCAGAGTGTGTGTTTACCTTTGTCAACTGCATACACTAAGATGGTGTAGGTGCCGTTAACAACGTGTGGAGATTCTCTGTCGGGCGTCTTTATCATTGTGATGTTTCCTGTGAGGGGATCCACCGTCACCCAGCCAGCAGGATCATTTCCTACCTTGTACCTGTGGACAGATTCAGTGCACTTAGACAGAACTGAACAGCTTCAGATCAACGTTCAGAAATGTTTAGTCAAATAAATCGCTTACACAAACTCTTTGGAATAACTGGAGTCAGGATCCACAGCTGTCACTTTATCCACCCAGGTTCCAGCGGGTACGTTCTCCATCACCACGACCTCTTTCACCGTCATGCTGAATTTAGGAGGGTCATTGGTATCCTCCACATCAATGGTGACTTTCACAGACTGAGGTTCAGCTGCACCAGAGGGATCATGGCCTTTAATGGTGTCAACTTTCCAGAGGCCTGAGGACGTCCTCTCTTTTACTTCACAGGAGTAATACGGTGCCTCGTTTTCCACTGAGATCAGCAGCTCCCTCTGCGCCCCATTCTCAAAGTCTAAAGGCTGAAATTATACAACAGTGTTGCAAAATCAGTAAAAAAATTTTTGTGAAATTCAAAAAATATTGTCAGCATCATTATATAAGAGGATAATAAATTTTTAAAAAAGCTGTGGGTGTCATTGTAATGTATAGCATGCAGTCAAACACCACTTACTTCAACTACTGTCAGGATCCCATCATTAGTCTCTAAGTCTGTTAGTATCTTGAAGTTCTCTCTCTCGTCACCATGTATGGTGTACCTGGCTCTCCATGCAGAGGTGTGGTGGGTGTCTTTGTCTGTCACGTGCAGCCTCAGAGGAGAGACCCCAGTCTCAAGCTCCTTCACTTTACCAGCGCCCTGTAGTTTGAATACAGAGTGTATAAACCTGTAGAAGAATTTCCCATTGCTAATACACAATTTTATTAAAGTAATACTGTGTAAAACTGTGATTGCTTGATGTTAGTAGACTGCTGTCACTTAAGTTCTGTTTTATTATCCTTCCCAATTCAAGTCCATAATCATTAAATTTAGTCCAGCAACTTTCTCCTTCCCTTTGGAGCAGATCTGAATACACCCCAGAGTTTTTCCATATCTGTGGAAGGCTGTGAGTTCACAGTTTAGCTTAGATGTCGATGTTGGGTAAGAGTTCCATATGAGTTAGTGAGAAGAGAAGCTCTCTTCTGTCCAATGACAGCCAGGCTGAGGTGAAATGTTCAGATACGCTGGTGTTTTCTGTCGCTAAGTGATGCTATTAGCATTCATTAGCTACTGTTAGCAGCGTTAGTGAAACTTTCTTTAAAGTGAATGTAACTTGTACTCTGACACTTAGTGAATAAAGTCTCATATGATGTGAAAATGCACTCAAACTGTTTATTAGAGGGAAACTGAGTGAGCTTTCACAGCTTTCACAATAAGCAAATCTGCTTCTATGCATTTTAATGGATTGAATATGAGTTTATGAGAAAGTATTAATTTGGCATAAATAGACAATAATCTATATATTAATGAGAATAATATCATTTTTTTCTATTATAAAACATAAAAAATTACTGACTGCACCTTTAAAACGTAAACTCATTGTGAATGCAGTATAAATATGAGTTTATATTTATGTTTGACGAACCACCAGGGTGTCTTGCCTTCTATTCTGTATACACTACACATAGGTATCAGGTTACAGGTGTGAAACTCCTGAAACTGGTGCTGTTTGGAGTTTGCAACACCAACTGACTGCCTACCGTTTGACCGCTGATGACTGGAAGGTGGTTGTTGCCATCCCGTACATGAATTACAACAGTGGTTGAACTGGACAGGCTGACTACTTCACCGTGGTCTTTGGCCTCCACCGTTAATGTAAACTTCTCAGCCACCTTAACAAAAGCAAATGGAGAGTTTTACATTAATAGGCTAATAGCATAACAATGTATTCATAGGATACATAGATCATAGTGTATCCTAGACAGTGGCTCCTACAGTAGTTAGACCATTATGCACAAAGCTTACGGGTGTTTTTTTGTATTACACGAATGGGGTTTTTTTTATAATAAGGAAACATTTGTAACCTTTGTGATATTTGCAAAGAATCTGTTGCTGCTCAAAGTGAGCATGCGCATCTGCATAAATAGCTCCGTAAGTTTTACTTACTCAAGTAAAGAACTAGCCAAATCGTTCTCCTTACTCATCTTTAAAATGTTTCGTGCTCCTGACATATCAACAAAAGAGTCTCTTACCTCATGATTTAAACATCCTTTGAATGAAATGTATCCAGACTCATCAACGAAGACTTCAGTGTCTCTAACAATTGGAGACACAGATTTGATTTCATAGTGGAAGGTTGAGTTTAGTGTTCCGCTCTCGTCTATGTCAGTAGCGTGCACTTTCAAAAGATTGGAGCCTGTCGGGAAATAAACAGTTAAGGAGCATATGTAATACTCAGTGTTTAATTCAATTCAAAGGAAGAAGCACACACACACAGACACACACACACACAGGGCTAGATAGATAAACACACAGACATGACTCACACAGACACAGTGGGGGAAATAATTATTTGATCCCCTGCTGCTAATTTAACTTTGCTCACTACATTAGAAATGAAGAGCCTCTTTTCATTTCTAATGTAGTTTTATTTTAGTGGAAAGAGACAGAATATCTACCAAAAATCCAGAAAAAACACATCACATTAAAAGTTGTAGGCACACAGATTCCAATCAATCAATCAATTACAGATCCTCCTAATCTCAGCCTGCTATGTATATGAAGTACACCTATCCTCAGAGTCATTTTCTTTCATTCCAACCTCTCCACCACCACAGGCAAGACCAAAGAGCTGTCAAAGGATATCGAGACAAGAATGGGCTTGTAGTCCACTCTTGCCCCATGGAGGTGGGCTGGAATGGACTACAAGCCCATTCATGTCCCCAACACCTTGTTGAGATGGTAACAAGTGGTGATGCAATTGTTCAGCAATGGAAGCAGTAAAAAAACGACGTGCCATTCTGTCTCTCACCATTAAAATGAAACTATGATAAAAAAAATGTATTCATTTGTAAGTGAGCCAACTTACAGAACTAGCGGGGATCAAATAATTATATGTACATATATATTATTATTATTATTTTTTTTTTTACCTTGTGTGTTTTCCTGATCAACAGTAGTCTCATACAGAGTATTCTCAAAGCGTGGTGGGTTGTCATTGATGTCCTTTATGAAAATCTCAAGTCGTAACCTGGTAACCTGTCTGGTGTCAGTTGACACGTCCATCTTTCTGGCCTCACATATTAGCTAGACATCAAATGATACCATGAAGACTTAGTTACAATAGAAAATAAATAGTAAATATTGTGATCTATGACATGGAAAGATTATCATTAAGTGGTAAAGTTCTGTGACAAGAAGTTAAAATAATTTTTAAAGATTTTTTTTCAGCCTTTTTTATGCAACCAAAGTAACAAAATTTGACATTTCTAGTATGAAATCAGGTAAAGCTTCTGACAATATGCTGACAGAAACGTAAAGTGTAAAAACTGTTGGTTGACAATAAGCATGAGCATGCTTAATATGCACTCTCATTAATAGTAACTACTCCACAATAACAGGTGTTCACTGTCACTATGAATAATTTGTACATGAACAGAAAGACTGTGGGATCACTACATGTTGGCGTTTAGCGAGTGTTGATTCTAACCTCAAGTTTTTGCCACTCCTCATAGTCCACAGCCTTGTGGACGTACAACATGCCAGACTCTTTGTCAATGGAGATGACTCCCATCGGCACCTCATCCACCCCTTCTCCATAGAGTTGGAAGGTTAGTCGATTTTGCCTATCAATATTCACCTACAACACAACAGCAAATGTTTGCATACGTAAACGTCCGTTTTGTGATTTTAAATGATTTTATTGCTATGAACCTGGGCATGGTTAAATAAAGAAACGTGCAAGTATCAAAGGAATGCAGGTGTTAAATCAGCTTTAATCAATTAACTGATTATTTTTGCATTATTAGTATTAGTTTTTTGGTAGCTACATTAAAAAAGTTCACCTTAAAATTAAATTCACTGTGCATTTATATTCCACAAAAAGTACATTTGAAACGTAAAAACCTATACATAAAAGTTTGTTTTTTTCTGTCATTTTAAAGTCTTTCAGTTTATGAAATTTGGAAATGGACACTTTCCGGTTAAATTTCTCACCTTGCCCAACTCATATGGGAATGGCCCTGGATAACCCTCCTCAAGCTCAAACGAGTCAGTAGTCCATTCCCTCCTGTGACGGCTCAGCAGCTCTGAGCTTCTAGCACCTGATAAACAATAAACCTGGAGGGCAAACAGTCAGTCAAAGCAGGAATGTTAGGGGATGGGCTTACGGTGAAGTTATAATTTATGCGTCTGGGGTAATGAACTTCTTAAAAGCTCACTGATGCATAGTTGGTAAACCAGTTTTGATAAGGTGCGCACACACGCATTTCTGCAGATATGCAAAGGCTTTCCGAGTATAGCGTGATAAGAGAAATGAACCTGTTCAAAAGGAAGTCCCAGATTTGTATCGCTGAAAACAAAACATTAACTCCATTTTAGGCAATTTCAGAAAACGTTTTCAAGAATTTTGCCTTTCGTAGCCATGTGATACGACAGATGAAGAGATCCATTAGGGCACGCAGTATTTGCGCACATAATTAGCATGTCTGACAAAGGAAAAGTCAAAGGAATACAAAAGTAATTGCTACGTACCAATAAAAAGAAGTAGCGCATGACCTTTGTTCACTGCAGTCAGCTCAGAGTGAGTAAGGACTGACTTCAGTCAGCAAGCCCAGCCTTCTTTCCACACCCACATATGCAACCGTAAAATCCTGTTTTTGTACGCGCGTGTGTGCGCGCACGCGTGTTTCTATGTTTGCGTGTGTGTCTGTTTACCTGCCTTTCCATGGAACCAGCTGTGACTGACAGCTGGAAATCAAAATAGGACAAACTCAGTCTAACGAATAGAAGCCGTGTTTTGTGCCTTTAGTTCCTTGACTGCTTTAGTTTGACGATAGGTTTGTTATGTGTGCTTTGTATTTAGTTCTACCTTCCTACTCTCATGGTCTGTGTTTAGCCGTCCTCCCACCTGTGTCCTCTTCCCTTGTTATATGGTGTGTTTTTGTCTCATTTTCCACTTGTCCGTTGTCCCATGCTCCCTCATGTCTGTGCTTCTCCTTGTTCTGTGTATTTTGTAGAAGTTTCATTGTGTTGGATTCTTTGTTTGTAACCTGCAGTTATTTTGTAAGAGCTCATCATTAAAGCTGCTTTTTGAGATTAAGTCTTGTTTATACTGTGCATGCATTTTGGGTCAATTAGCGATCCTCGACAAAAAGCAAAAACAAAAGAGTTTGTACAATGCTAAACAGCTTGAAAGTCAATATTTGTTATGACCACTTTTATTTTTCAACAGAGTCTAGTTAAGATTTCTTGTAATTTTTTTTTTCTAGTCCTCAGGAATAGTTCTCCAGGCTTCTTGAAGATTATTCAAAGCTCTTCTTTCAATGTTGTTTTTCTCTCTGTCAAGATGATGCCGCACTCCTTCAATAATGCTGGGCTGTAGGGAGGCCAATCCATGACTAACAGTGGAAATTTTTATTAAACCTGACAACTGGTAGTCATGTGGGTTCCGGAGCTCTACAGACTTCTAGCCTTCCACAGTTACTCCTGTGGAGAAATGTGTAGTGAACTCCACCACCACAGGCCAATACTTAGGGTGTGGACTTGAACTTGTGCCAAGCTGCTTTGCCTCGGTGGATTTCTGGCTGCTGGGCTGAGGTCCCGATACATCAATGTATTTTAATTTGTTTTAGACTGATGTACTTTGACAGGGAAGAGCTGAAGCTTATTTTGACGGCTGTCGATATTGTTGTTTTGTTTATGTGTTTTATTTTACTGTCTCAGTAGGCACCTCATGTATTTATTGTATTTTAGAGTGGTTTACCCTTTTTATATATATATTGTTGCAGACAGTGAAGGCGCTGCATGGAAAACTAATCGTTTTTTCTTTCCGATTTTTGCATGCACCGTGGTGAGCTTGAGTGGAGACGGCACTGAATATTTTATTTTTTATAGTGTTTTGTCCGGTTGGGGTTCAGGGTGAGTTGCCGTCCCTTTTAAACGTGTGTCATATGTTGATTTGTGTTTAACAGGTTCCCCACAGCGCTTATCCTGTCCCCCACGTACAATCATACAATTTTAAAGTTTTAACCGTATTTAATGAAGTAAAGCTTTTAATTGTTTTATACGGAAGAGGATTAGGGCCACTGGAAAAAAAAAAAAACAATTCTGACTTTTTTCCTCAGAATTCTGACTTTTTTCCTCAGAATTCTGACTTTTTTCTCAGAATTCTGACTTTTTTCTCAGAATTCTGACTTTTTTCAGAATTCTGAGAAAAAAAGTCAGAATTCTGACTTTTTTCTCATAGTTCTGACTTTTTTCTCAGAATTCTGACTTTTTTCAGAATTCTGAGAAAAAAGTCAGAATTCTGAGATTAAAATCAGAATTCTTTCCTTTTTTTCCCCAGTGGCCCTAATCCTCTTCCGTAGTTTTAGGTGCTACTGTTACATGTTTACTTTTATTTTGTGTTAACATTAAAACCATTTTAACTGACTGTATGGCTACAGCTCTGTCCTATTGAAGTAGGTACCTACCATGGGTCACACTGTGGTTATTAAGACAAATGTGATAAGCATTTTGGCATGTGTGATGAGATGCTGCATATATTTTATCACACTGTGGTGGGCAGTGCTCTCTATTATACTGTGGTGTTTTGGTGGTGCAGCCCGACAGACAAACACTTCTACAACACCACTAGAGACACATGAATGAAATGCAGTGTCATTAAAAACACTTGATTTTTTTCCATATTCTTCAATGATCTTTATTTAAAAATGTAATATATTTACATGTGAATAAACTTTTAAGGATTACACTGACTGATGGATGAGTGGGCAATGAATGCTTTCTCATCCTTCTGTCATGCTCCATAGAGTGTCTGAGGGGGTTTTCCACTTGGTATCGGGATTCTGTGTCCACCTTCAGAGGTGGAGTTTCCAGCGTCTCACCTGGGCCTCATCTGCAAACAATCAGCAGGAGGGCTTTTTAAACCAGCGCTGTCTGCTACTCCTCGCCAGTATGTTCTGCTATCTACAGTGGTAACTAGGCTCCACCTCTGCTCCAATTCTGGCTTCCCCATGTTTAACCTTGTTTTCCCTGTGTTTAGATCTCCTCTGACAACATATTCGTCCAGCAACTTCTTCTCCTCTGTTGCAGAATTCCCTTTGGATCGTTCCCATCACGACCCAGGTGATCAGTCTCTCCATAGCTTTTCCTCTGGTACCTGCTCTCTGCTGACACTCCATCTCTAGCCACATTCTCTATTCCTTCTCCTTAAATAAAGTCTTATAAATAGTTTAACCATGTGCTTTGAATTTGCATTTGGGTCTAAGCCTTCTATGGAGGGAATATCTCTTCACAGTAACATCTATTCAATTTTCTGTTCAATTCAATTTTATTTATACAGCGCCAAATCACAACAAAAGTCGCCTCAAGGCGTTATATTCTAAGGTAGAGCCTACAATAATATTTACAAAGAAAGACCCAACAATCAAATGACCCCCTATGAGCAAGCACTTTGGCGACAGTGGGAAGGAAAAACTCATTTTTAACAGGAAGAAACCTCCAGCAGTACCACGGTCAGGGAGGGGCGGGCATCTGCTGCAACCGTTTGGGATGAGAGAAGGAAGACAGGGTAAAAGACATGCTGTGGAAGAGAGACAGAGATTAATCACAAGTATTATTCAATACAGGGAGGTCTGTTAACACATTTCTAGTGAGAAAGGTGGATGAAAACGAAAAACGTGATGCATCACGGGAATCCCTCAGGAGTCTACGCCTTGCAGCATAACTAAGGGAGGATTCGGGTTCACATGAGTTGGCCATCAGCCTACTAAAAGGATACTGAAAAAACGTGTCGAAATAGTGTTAGTTGTCAGCACTTGTGCTGGTGGACTCAGAAATTTGCAAACGCAAGTATTCCTCTTCTGCCTCAAAATCCTCTCGGGACCACTTCCTCGAGCCTCCAGTTTCATGGTTGTCAAGCTCTTCAAGTTCATCCCCAAAAATGTTCATCACGACTGGTCTTAGAGTGAGCATGCACAGTTGAGCTTGTCCCTGAATCAGAGTTTGCAAGCCTGAGTGTTTTGCTGTTCTCTTCTTCATCTACACTCTCTGGGCTTTTTCGTGGATCCACCAGGCAGTGGTTCTTCTTTTATTACCTGCTGATTGATGTCCTCATCAGCAATATTACCAACATGAGAACAACCCTCGCTATCAGTGTCACAGTCAGAAATGAAGTCAGAGTCATCATCAGAAAACTCCTCGCACCATCTGATTCTTTTGTTCTTCATCCATCTCTCTAAACCTCCTCCTGGATACACCTGGCCGAGGGTCCTCTTCTGGGATGTACTGGTGAACATCCACACAGTCTTCAAATGCCTCATCAGAATCATCATTTTCAATGACAACAACAACAACAGCATTTTGGCTGGTGTAGACTCACAACTTTGGAATGGACAAAATGCATACAGCATAAATAAAACTAATTAAAACAATTCTTTTTATTCAAAACCGACGTCAGGATTTGGGTTGTGAGAGCGTCTGTGTTGAATGGAGAAGCTACATCCCATGTTCACTCTGATGCCTCTGTCTTTCTAAATGGAGGGACATAAACTGTGTGTGTATATGTAAGCGTGTAAAAACTGCAGATACTAAGAATAACAGCCATCCGCCATTGTAGAAATTTATCTCATGTAAACAATAACGTGACCACAGCGTGATGTCAAAAACGGCACACACATACTCAGACATTGCCTGAATAAATCTCGTCCACACCTAAACGCAAAAATGTAGTTTTCAAAAATCTCCACCCTGGCAAGAGTTTTTAAAAATGTCACCTTTCAGTGACCCAAACTGCAGTTTACGTGTGGACGAAAGGCCCACATGCATAGAATAAGCTGTGTTTTCAAAAATACCAGTGTACATGTGGACGTACTCAGTTTCTCAAAAAATCTCTCAGAAATTCTAATAGTTTGTTTGAGAAAAAACTGAAATTTCAGCTTACTTTAGTTCTTGGATGGTAATAATATAAATTACACAGCAGTTAATCCTCAGGAGTAGAAATTTCACTAAATAGTCGTCTTCTTTCATATGGTTGCAGTGTCTCTTCAGATTTGTGTTGACATGCTGATGTTTTCATTCAAAAGATGTTTAAATGATGCAGTGATGTCCCTTAAGCATCATAGACTGCAGAATACATATAGATTCTTTTTACTTTTAAGTTGTATGCTCAGATTTTGATATCTTTTATATGGAGACAAAAAAAATACTTAAAACAATTAAAGAAAAATAAAGCAGTCAATGTGTTATTTAAATTTTTCATTTATTCTAATAGTTACTGTAAAATTCTCCACTAAGAGATTCATCTTGGACTTCTTGCGGGATTAAAGCTAAAAAATTAGTACCCACACAACATATAATTCATTTCTTTATGCTTGTAAGGCAAAAATGAAGAGACTGCGCTGACAGTCAAAAGAGACGAAGAGGAACTCAGATACCAGCTATGCTGAAGTTTTCACAACATCACTTGAGTTTTGGAGGTAAAAGGCAAGCAAGGACCACGTCAGGGTGGAGTTTACAGATTATTTTTTCCACTATGAAGGTGCAGGTTGTGGGTAGTGAGATCATCTAATGTCATATAATCTTTAGCTTGAGATCCAGTATTCAAGGCAAGGCTGGATGGTCCATTTGGTAAAGTAAATCCGTTGGGCATCTTTCTTCGCCTTTAGACAATAATTCTGATGGCAAAAGAACCAAACGGGACAGGCAAAAAAAAAAAAGAACAAGGAAAAAGAAATAAAAAAGAGAGAGATCCATTATTCAGGTGCCCAGTGATCAAAAGTTGATAGCCAGAAGGGGGAGACATTGAGCTACAAAGTGAGCTGTGTAGGGTGTAGGTGAGGTTTTCTGTTCTGTTGTTGGGTTACCACTTCTTAGTTTCACTGCACTTCAGCATGTGACAGTTCACTATTAGCGATGTCTGATTGTCAAAGTATTGATTAATTTTGCTGGAATCCTTCACTTGCCCCTATTCCTTATTGTATCCCTCCATGTATTTTTTGACCACATTAATCTCACCTTCCTCTGTCTTTTTCTCACACTGCTGCTGGGACTACGGTCCCTCCTGCTGCATTTCACCATGCTTGAGCCCATGAGACCTGGTTACCACCACTTCTTCCACACTAAACTCTGTTCTAAAAGCTATGTAGGCAAACAGTCAAGGTAGGGCCTGATTGTTTTAATTGATTTGATTAAGCAATCCTTTGACTGTAATGAAAATGAACCACTTGCAAAAAATAAGCATCAAAATATTGATGAGCATATTTTCCTTTTAGCAAATTCCATTAACAAAACCCCCCAAATAATTTCTCTGAACACTCTTCCAACAACCACACCAACCCATCCCACTGTACCACTGCATTACATGTACTAAATCAGTACTCATCCAAAGATTGATATGCAAAGGAAAGCTGTCAGTCCTCTTATTAAAATGATTTTGTTTGAGATATCACATGACCCTATTTTCCTTCTTACTTTGCATCATTATAATAAAGCTGAAAGCTGAATCCATTTTAATTGTGAGCAAGTACAGAGCAGTAAAAATAAAATAAAAATAAAAACAACAGAAAAGATGCAGAAGCAGAAAACAAACAAAAACAAAAAACACCACGTGTAGAAAAAATAAGCCAAGAAACCAGAGCTGGTTAAAGGCACTCAGATGTTTGCATGTTAAATTTGTAACTCCTGGTATGTTATATGTCAGGGTGTGTGGCTGGTGGGAGGTGGACCCAATTTGGAAGACTCAGAAGAGAAAGAGTGAACTCAAAACCAAGTTTTATTTCTGGTAAATCACAGAAAAAAACCTACAACATACAACAACAATCACCAAAGTAAAACAGGAAGACAGACACAAATGAATGGGGACGTCATGGTTCTGGGTTGTTGACCCAGTGTTTTTGTTTTGGACGTATGAATCTTGTTTGTTTATTGTTTTGATCTTGAACAGTGGGTTATAGTTCTTAGATTAGTTTTCTTGTGCTTATGAGTTTTCTGATTATGTTGTTTATGCCTTGTGATTCAGGTTGATTGTAGGTTATCAGACTTCCTTTAGTGTTCCCTTTTCTGTCTTGTCTTCATGTTTATTTATCTCTGTGTCCCTCGATCTCCCTCTCTCTGTCTCCAAGTTCTTAGTGTTTCCAGATTTTCCAAGTGTTTTTCCAGCTTAGTTTTTCACGATTTGTTCCTTTTTCAGTTTGGTTTTCTTGGGCGACCGTGGTTCAGGGGGTTGGGACGCTCATCTGTAACTGGAAGGTTGCCGGTTCAATCCCCCAGCTCTCTCTGTCCTGGTCATTGTGTCCTTGGTCAAGACACTTTACCCTACCGCCTACTGGTGATGGCCAGAGGGGCTGATGGCAGCCTCGCTTCTGTCAGTCTGCCCCAGGGCAGCTGTGGCTACAACTGTGGTTTGCCTGCACCAGTGAGTGAATGTGAGAGTGAATGAATAGTGGAATTGTAAAGCACTTTGGGTGCCTAGAAAAACGCTATATAAATACAATCCATTTTTATTATTTTTGTAATGTTTGACAACCAGCCTTCTTTTCTCCGTGTGTCTGCATTTGGATTGTCCCCTCAGCTCCACATGCTGCCCGCAGATTGTGACAGGGGAGAGAAGACTAACTTCGCACATGAGACACAGGAGGACAAAACACAGACCTGAACAGAATACACTGAACACTATTTATACAAGAAGCACTGAGGCGGCTGGGAGATAAAGCAAAAATATAAACAATACAAATTATAATACCTCAAACACAAATGATCCTCAAAACCAAAACAGAAACCCTGAGTCCAAAACCCCATAACACCTTTAAAACTACCGGTAAAAACACATCTATCGTGGCCACAGATGCTCGAGATTCAACACAAAAGCAAGATCTCTTTTTTAAAAAAAAGACATGCTTTACCTATCATGACTAACTCCCAGTATGTATGTGGTGTAGGGAGTTTTAGGAGCTCTTCAAACCTGATTACTGTGGACACCACATAATCAATTCATTTTTATTTTGGCATTAGGCACAGCTCTGTGACAAAGACCCCACAACCTCCTTAATCTCCAGCCTCACCCCAAAAAATGCCTTTTTACGAGGACCACCTGGGCCAAATGCCACTGAGCAGAGAGCGCTCCCAAAAGTTGGTAGAGGTAGACTCTGAAGGGTTTCAATTTTCTTAAAACTGTTGTAAATACTGTAGTTTTCTACTTATTTAAGGGGGACCACCTTGAGTTCCACCCTTTGCATGAGCACTCAGTGAAGATGATTTTTGGGTTTTTTTGTTTATCCCAAATGCAAATTAGCATTTTGGATTCTAACATGAAAGTGACGAACAATTATAATCCAGCAACTGTGCACTTTTGTTTTTCTTTCCTCATTTTGATATGAAAAATGAAGATGCATGTGGCACAGTTATTAAACACATGTGATTAACAATAAAGCTCTCTGGTAGTATATCTCATGCAGAAGTGGTTGCCACAAACCCTTTTTAATTAACCCCAAATCTGAATGGAATAAAGGGATTAAATGCCTTCTTCCTCACACTTGAAACAAAAAATGTTTGCTACGTAACAGGATATCCTGAGTACTGTATTTGTGTCGGGCTGCATATAGAAGCCAGTTGGTGAAACTTTGGACCCAGATCTTTCAGTGTGTCCTGAAATGAATCCTCTTCCAAAATGTTGATTGTCTCCAACGCTGAGTTGGTTTCTAAATTCCCCTCCACTGCATAGATGTGAAGCTCATCGTCTCCTAAGTCCACTTCTTTCTTCCAGAGTGAGTACACTTTCTGAAAATTTTGCAACACGTAAATTATTATTTTTTGAATCATACATGCTCATATGTTTTGAATAATGCAGCACAGGAGATGTAACTTACTGAAGAGATTAGGCACTGAAGCAGTTTAACCTGCATGTCATTAGACTCCGTAGCACAGCTCACGGTTTGTGTTTGGAGGACGTTCATATTGCTCATGTCTTCAAACTGCACACAAAAGGTTCACATTTCTTTATCTCTGATTTCAAAGTGAAAGATTACAAACACAAATCTCTGGTGTTCTACCTGATGGCTGCTGTCAAAGCCAGTGGTTATTGGAGAATTCCAGTTTGACTGAGATTTAAAGAACAAAAATATATAGTTATTATTTTAAGATCCATTTGTAAGTCATCCTCAATCTTCTGTGGGTGTGTACAACCTGGTTCCCAGTGTAGCTGTATTGGCTGTATTGGCTTTCTCTTCTGAAATCCCCAAAGCGTGGGTGGATGGACCTCTGTGTAAAATCCTGTTCAAAAGGATGACAAGAGCAGGAGGTGATCTATAGAGGATTCTGAGATGCTTTTACAAAAGTACATGCTCCATGGAAGAATGACCTACCCTAGCTTGTGAGCGTAAACTCCGAAAACTGCCAAAAGTCTGAACTTCATTCATACCCACCCTTGCTGAATATCTCCCATTTCTCATCCCATTCAGTGGAATATGGAAATTAGATTGATTATATTGCTCCATACAAACTGGTTCTTCCATAATAGTGACAGGAATCTAAAGAAAGAGAAATGGTTTAATGATATTTCCCTTTAAATGGGTCATTGGCATGGATGCAAATGTTTCTAAATAGTGACCTCGCAGTTGTCTCCTGGTGCCTCAGTGTTTGATTGGAGGAGGATTCCTCCTGAACAATCTTCAGGCTCCATAGTGATAAACTCTCTTTTGGACGAGATGCTGAGAGCCAGCAGCAGCAGAACTGTCAAAGAGTAAAATAAAACTTATACTGGGTTCTTAGAGATGTTAGCACACATATCACAGTTCTCCTACACTAAAGTAAACGATGAGTTTCTTACACAGAAGTAGTAAGAGTGAACAAATTATTATGCATAAAGCATAAGGGCCAATGTTTATTTCAGATTTCTGGCGAGTTCGACAGTTTGGTGTCACAGTGCAGCCACATGCAGTCACACTGAGGTTGTAAACTTTAAATGCTCCCTGCATGTCGGAGATCTTTAGATGAATTGTGTGTTGACCATAGGACACACCGGGCTCCTTCACCAGACCAGCTGTGTAACCTTGAAGAAAAGATCAGGAAATGATAGGATACTTTAGGAGTTCTGGCTTTTGTGCTTGTTTTTCTGTAATATGTCACTAAATACACGAAGGATGTTTCTACCATAACCAGGATTCAGTCTCCATTTTCCTTCAACATTTCCCAACAGTTCAAAAGTGAAAGGCCCTCCATAAGGTTCTTCATCTGGGTCAAAGGCCTCGATGTTGGTGGTTGTGGGGGCATCAGACACACACACATCCAGGCTGTCCACTGTTAGCTGTGGCACATTGTCATTCTGGTCAGACACATGGATATGTAGTGTAGCTGTTCCTGTCATTGGTGGTATACCTGTCCAAGATGCAAGAAATGTAGTACAAAAAAAAAAAGCTGTTATTTAGATTTGTTTTGTTTGTTTTTTAAAAGTCAGAGTGTGTGTTTACCTTTGTCAACTGCATACACTAAGATGGTGTAGGTGCCGTTAACAACGTGTGGAGATTCTCTGTCGGGCGTCTTTATCATTGTGATGTTTCCTGTGAGGGGATCCACCGTCACCCAGCCAGCAGGATCATTTCCTACCTTGTACCTGTGGACAGATTCAGTGCACTTAGACAGAACTGAACAGCTTCAGATCAACGTTCAGAGATGTTTAATCAAATAAATCGCTTACACAAACTCTTTGGAATAACTGGAGTCAGGATCCACAGCTGTCACTTTATCAAACCAGGTTCCAGCGGGTACGTTCTCCATCACCACGACCTCTTTCACCGTCATGCTGAAATTAGGAGGGTCATTGGCATCCTCCACATCAATGGTGACTTTTACAGACTGAGGTTCAGCTGCACCAGAGGGATCATGGCCTTTAATGGTGTCAACTTTCCAGAGGCCTGAGGGCGTCCTCTCTTTTACTTCACAGGAGTAATACGGTGCCTCGTTTTCCACTGAGATCAACAGCTCCCTCTGCGCCCCATTCTCAAAGTCTAAAGGCTGAAATTATACAACAGAGTTGCAAAATCAGTAAATTTTTCTTTGTGAAATTCAGAAGCTATTTTCAGCATCATTATATAAGAGTATAATCTTTGTTAGCCCAAAAAGCAGGTTTGACAAATATATATTACAGAGACGTTGAGAAAGTAGTTACAGAGAAACTGTGGGTGTCAATGTAATGCATGACATGTAGCCAACCTCCACTTACTTCAACTACTGTCAGGATCCCATCATTAGTCTCTAAGTCTGTTAGTATCTTGAAGTTCTCTCTTTCGTCACCATGTATGGTGTACCTGGCTCTCCATCCCGAGGTGTTTGGGGTGTCTTTGTCTGTCACATGCAGCCTCACAGGAGAGACCCCAGTCTCAAGCTCTTTCACTTTACCAGTGCCCTGTGGTTTGAATACAGGGTGTATAAACCTGTAGAAGTACTCCCTGGTACTAGTACAAAACATGAAATGTATACAATTTCCTCATCTATGTTTATTGATATTACAATTTATGCAATCATGGATTCAGTGTGGTTGATTAAGTGTTTATATTCCTTGTAATTAGTTTGTGGCTTAGGCAGATATCATTCTATAAAATTATGATTTGGCAATTATATGAAATATGGACAAGTAATAACAACAACAATGTAACTGCATCCATGTTTTAGGCCTTAAACGCAGTATAAATGCAACTGAAATATGATATTATTTGCATATTTTATTCTTTCCACCTTTCACAATTTTTCAATTTACCTCAGTTTTCTTTTCTTATGTTTATATTTTGACTAATCAATGCCACATCACCATTGGGTCTTACCTTGTGTTCTGTATACACTACACATAGGTATCAGGTTACAGGTGTGAGACTGCTGAAACTGGTGCTGTTTGGAGTTTGCAACACCAACTGACTGCCTACCGTTTGACCACTGATGACTGGAAGGTGGTTGTTGCCATTCCCTACGTGAATTACAACAATGGTTGAACTGGACAGTTTGACTACTTCACCGTGGTCTTTGGCCTCCACCACTATTGTAAACTTTTCAGCCACCTTAATACAAGCAAATGGAGAGTTTCACATTAACAGACTAAAAGAAGAATAAAGAATTAATACTATTCTCTATATTTCCTCCCAAAGGAGTTGGACCACTTGTCACCAAATGTAGCTTACTGGTAATTTTATGTAGTACAGGAAGATAATTTGCTCATTGGAACAAAAGCACACATGAGAAAGCACTCAAAGCAAATATTCATATCTGCATAAATGCTTAGTTTTACTTTGTCTTATCAGTTACAGATCTAGCCAAACAGGAAATACCTCCGTTCTTCTTACTCATCTTTAAAGTGTTTTGTACTCCTGACATATCAACAAAAGAGTCTCTTACCTCATAATTTAAACATCCTTTGAATGAGATGTATCCAGACTCATCAATGACGAGTTCAGTGTCTCTAACATTTGGAGACACAGATTTGATTTCATAGTGGAAGGTTGAGTTTAGTGTTTCTCTCTCGTCTATGTCAGTAGCGTGCACTTTCAAAAGATTGGAGCCTGTTGGGAAATAATAACTCAAGCTAACGAGCATATTTAATAATCACTGTGTAATTAAGTTCAAATCAAGGAGCATTTTTTGTTTGCTTGTTTGTTACTTTTACCTTGTGTTGATTCCTGAGGAAGATTAATCTCATACAGATCCCTCTCAAAGCGTGGTGGATTGTCATTGATGTCCTTTATAGAAATCTGAATTCCTAACCTGGTGTCCATTGATATGTCCATTTTTCTGGCCTCAAATCTTAGCTAGACATCAAAAGATATCATGCAGAGTTAGTTACAGTATAAAGACAAACATGATAAATTGTTGGACATTGGGAATGTAGTGTGAAAAATCATAATACAAATATTTTTCAGTTCTCTCACAAGAAAATGTGCTTTAAAGATGTTTTAGTGTCAATATTTTACATATCGTGTATGAAATCAGGGAAAACCTCATATTTACAGAGGATAATACATAATCTGATTAGAACTCAAATTTTTTGTCCTGCAAACCTATTAACAGTGACGACTCCACAATAACAGATTTTTTCATGGTCACTGTGAACAAAAATTCTGCGGCATCGCTACATGTTGGAGTTTAACATGTGTCGATTCTAACCTCAAGTGTGTGCCACTTCTCATAGTCCACGGCCTTGTGGACGTTCAACATGCCAGAGTATTCGTCTATGGAGATGACTCCCATCGGCTCCTCGTCCACCCCTTGTCCATGCAGTTCAAAGTATATTTGATATTCCCTATCAACACTCACCTACAACACAACAGCAAATCTTCGTGAGGTCAGTTATGGTGGATACTACGGGTATTTTCTGGCAATTACATTAAAATGAAAGTTCCTCCCAAAATTTAATTGATTATTTTTGTATACTAAAAAAAGAAAGAGAGGACAAAATACACATTTGAAACACAAAACTGCTTGTACACTGTTAGTGGATTTTTCTTTTTTAAGCAACTGATCATAACTGGACAATGCTGTATGCTTATTTCCATTACATTCAAGCGATGTTCTACATTTCTACAGCTAATGTCATACAAAATGGACAGCCAACACCAAGTCCAAAGTAAAAATATGTCATTCGAATTTGTCATTATTTATTTATGAAATTTGGAAATGGACATTTTCTGCTTGAATTTCTCACCTTGCCCAACTCATATGGGAATGGCCCTGGATGGCCCTCCTCAATCTCAAAGGAATCAATAATCCACGCCCTTCTGTGACGGCTCAACAGCTCTGAGTTTGCTGCACTTGACAAACAATAAACCTGAAAGACAAAGCAGGAATGTTAAGGTATGGCAAAAGGTTGTAGCTTTAATTTATGTACCTGCTTTGTTGGTAAACAGGTTTTGATAAGGTGAGCGCACACACATATTTCTATTGACATGCAAAGGCATTTAGCATGATAAGAAAAATGAAACCATTTCAAAGGAAGTCCCTGACTTTTATGGCTCATAACAAACCCTTAACTCCATTTTAAGCAATCTAAAAACTAAAAGAAAAATATATTTTGGAGGATTTTTTGTTGTTGTCTATAAGAAGATTTCAGATAACATCTGTCACGTGGCATCTCTCATCTGTCATTATGTGGCCATATGATAGATGACGAGATCGGCACACAAGATTTGCTCACATAATCAGCACATAGTTTTATAAGAAATAAAATGTAACAGAAATGTTACATACCAACAGGATGAAGCGGAGCATGGTTCTTGTTCAGTATATCCAGCTCAGAGTGAGTGAGGACAGACTTTTTCAGAGTAAAGAGACCCGGTCCTCTGCTTTCCACACCCACATACACAAGTGCAAAATACAGTCTGTGTGTGTGTGTGGTTTCATACCTGCCTTTCCATGGAAGAAGCCTCATAACCTTTAATACGTCACGAACGTTTTATAGTAACTGAACAATGCCAGCTTTGATCTTGCCTTTCAAATGCTTTATAGTTACTGACCCTCAGTGTGTATTCACTCAAAAACCATCACTCATGTGTGAAGAAGATATTATCTTCCCGCTTTTTCGGCATTTGATCCTGGGAATCGAACCAAAATTATAAAGTCTCTGCAAACTGTGATTGCTTCAGAATCCTTTAGTGATACACACCCCCGTCTGGTGATCGAGGATTCCCTGAAGTAGAGTTTTTAAAAAACTTGAAATATGTGAGACATTTAACCTCATGGCTTTGTGCCAAAGAGTCAAACACATACTTGGTGTTATTAAAACAGAACGTGACAACAATGATCACAAAAACTGAAAATAAAATGTGAATTAAATCTAGAACAAACTAGTCCTAGTCATGCCCTTGTGTTTCATCTCTGCTTTCCTGTTCCCATGTCCCCCTCTTTGTGTTTCATTCCATGTCTCCCTTGTCTGTCATGTGTGTTCTCGCCTGCCCGTCATGTCTCTCACCCTCTGTATCTCTTCTGTCTGTCTCATCCCCATGCCTGCTTCTTTCCTCCGGCCCCGTGTCAAACCGTGTGTCTTAGCATGTGTTTCAGTGTGAGTTCTGTTTTATTTTGACAGTTCAGTGTGTTTAGTTTTGCTTCCTCTGTGTCATTATGTCTATTCATCCAAGCTGTGTTCCACATGTGTTTCCACTTCGCTTGTATATATTCTGTGTTTTAGCCTTTGTTCATCGTCAGGTCATCTGCTTATCATGCTTATCAATAGTTCATGTTTCAGGTTTTCTTTCCCAAGTCCAGGTTTTCATGTTCCATGTTCTTAGTGTTCCCGTTTGCCCTTTGTTTTGCATGTTTTTCTCAGCATCAAATAAACGGCTCGTTTTTTTGTTCATTTCCTCCCTCGAGCGTCTTCCTTTTGGTCCACAGTATTAACACAAGGGCTGCCGCCACAGCCCTCTGACATGCTGAGGTTGGATCCAACTTTGAAACTAATCACATTGCACACTATTAACCTCTTAATCATGAAGAGGTCACATAAAATCAACGGTGCTGTACTGAATAAAGTGACAATTCACCACTCAGTGACAAAATATTTCTCCTACTGGAAACATCCAGATGTACAGAATCATCTTTTGGGGATTTTCCTACCTGGATGATTGAGCATTCACCAAGATATCTCACAGACGTATCATAAGGTACAGGTCAAAACCATTGGTATTCACTCTTTTTTGCTGGTAGATCCTACTGAGTTAACATCAGAGCTCATCATAGTACAGAAACAGCATTAGAGATGGTTATAAATG